ACGAAGTGGGTTGAGGCCCAATCTTACGTGGTGTTGAAGGCATCGCATGTCGCTAAGTTCATCAGGAACAACATCATCTGTCGCTACGGGGTCCCGAATGAAATTATTTCAGATAATGGTTCCCACTTCAAGAAGGAAGTGATCGACTTGTTGGAGAAATATAATGTGGCTTTCCATAAGTCATCTACATATCGGCCGCAAACCAACGGAGCAGTTGAGGCCACCAACAAGAACATCAAGAACATTCTGTAGAAGATGGTGGAAACCTACCAGGACTGGCCAGATAAGCTGCCATTTGCTCGGTGGGGCTGCCGGACTTCAATTCGAACTTCTACTGGGACAACTCCGTATTCCTTGGTTTATGGGATGGAGGCTGTTTTGCTTATCGAAGTTGAGGTTCCGTCATTACGGGTATTGGCTGAGTGTCAGATAGCTGAAGCAGATTGGCAGCAAAGCAGGTTTGAAGAACTCATGCTCTTTGATGAAAGAAGGTTGAAAGCACTGTATCACGTTTAGGGTTATCAACGAAGAATCACCAGGGCTTTCAACAAGAAGGTTAAGTCCAGGAATTTGAAGGAAGGGGATCTTGTGCTCAAAGACAACCAAGCTGCCATCCACGACCCTAGGGGCAAGTTCAGACCCAATTGGACTGGTCCTTACAACATCAAGTCTATCTGGTCAGGTGGAGTTGTCGTTCGATGGACCTAGATGGCCTAGAGTTCTCCCAGTCGATCAACATGGACAAGTTAACGAAATACTTTCCCTGAGTGGCTCGCTAGGGTGAAAACCCAGAAAGGGCGGCCTCGGAAAAAGTTAGAGCGTAAAAGGAGAGTGTTAATACACGAGTGAACCCGAGTCGAACTACGTAAGGTTTGATTCCCATATTTGGGATACGTAGGCAACTTCATTCTGAAATCCATCCATAAACACTTCCCTGATCAACTTTGTCCGTGTGATCATGTTGGTCATCTTTATCTATTCTACATTCAAGAGCTCAGTTGTGATCTCCAGTGCAGTGCTATTCAGACGAGGGGCAACTTTCTAGTTGCTGAGGATCCTGGGTTATACATCTCAGTGATAGATCTCGGGTATGTCTAGTTTTGATCCATATCGAAAATGGTTTTGAAAAGTTTTAATAAAAGTTAATTTTGCTCAAATTAATCTTTTTACAACTTAGACCATTTTTGTACCAAACAAAAAATTTTCAGTACCCACAACCTTCAATTACATTGATTTCAGTACAGAGTTCTCTTACTCTTGAATACAAATTGAAGTTGCTTTTTATTACATTCATAAAGAAAATTTGAAAATACTGATTAAAGCAAATAAATTCGGGGCATAGTCAGGTGTTCCTGCGTCCCCTCCCAGAGCTTGTAGAAGCCTCTGATGCCAAAGTAGGCCCAACCTGCGTCTCTTCATCAAGCCAAGCTATGCACTCATCAGAGAGGGTGAAACTAAAAGTGGAAGCAGGGGCCAGAAGTTCTCTCGTCCTCCATGCTGTGGCATACCGAGCTAACTGTGCACCTCAGACTGGAAATGCAGCAGGGTATTCTATCTCTTCCTTCGGGCAAGTCTGATCATGACCAAACTGACGCTGGATTCGAAACGGGAAATAAAGGACACAGTGTGTCAGGCCGATCGACTGAATCCCAGGTTGGCGAGTCATGCTGTAGCTCATCGCCGGTAGATTAAGCCAGAGGCAGCGCCAAGCAATGTCAAGAGCAGTCAAACTGCGCATCCATTCGTACCACCATTCCTCATCAGGGGCATCGACTAGACGTCGCCGAAAGAAATAGTTGCGAGCTGAATATGCTGGGCAAGAGTCCACAACCCTTAATTTATCCATCAACCATATCTGGGGAGGGACGAAAAATGAGAGATTAAAGAATAGAGAGGTGTATGTGGAGAGAAAAGTGAGAGAAGGGTTTTGAGAGAAAAACTGAGCCTGAGGGCCGAGTGATGTGAGAAATATATGTGAGATAGGATAGGAAACATTACCTGCAGTAGTAGTAGACTCCCCGCGAATCTAGTCATCTCTCGGCGATGGAAAGCGTCCAAACCCATCAATGTCTCGGCTAGTGTCATGGCAATGCAGTTTTTGCCCTCTTTTAAGCCCTTGGCAACCTCAATCAAACGAGCGCTAAACCCTCCAGAGCCTGAGGCAAGCAAGAAATGTGACAGCATGCACAAGCAAAGCGCATGTTGCCGAAAGCCCTGCCAATGATGGTCGTCGCAGTCACCGGCATCAGAAAACTGATGAATCAAACTCGAAATGTCCAGCACTCCGTCACAAATCAATGATCGAGCGTCATGCAAAGTAAGCCCACACATCTGTCCTAAGGCTTGAACGTGGCCGAAGCAGAATTGGGGCATGATTTCTTCGTTGCGTTCTAATTCCATCAAAACTTGGAAGTCTTCAAAAATGGGACACATCTCTTGTCTGCCAAAGCTAAAGACGTGAGTTACCAGATTCTAATATCTTGCCACGACATGAAGGAATGGAAAACGCAGCGGGGTGCGACTTAATGTGAATAGTGCATTTATGCCGAAGCCCCGGAAGTTCAGCTTTTCTGAGCCATCTAAGTTGGTGATCCAATTTGTGAGATTTTGGACGAGAAATGCCTCCATTTTGGTGCAAAACTGAGTTAAAATGCGGGAACCATGAAGCTGGAACCTTTATGAAGGATAAGGCACTGTTTTGAGGACAAGTGTCAGAAAACTGGAGGTCCCCAGGCAAAGTGGTCAGCCGACCACTTTTTTTGGTCGGCCAGCCAGTTTAACTGGTCGGCCAGTTACATTTTTTGGTTTACAGACCAAAAAACTGGTTGGCAGGCTCCTATGGTGGTCAGCCATGAGCAAAAAGGTGGTCTGCAGCTTTTTCTTGTCTCCAGAAGAGAGTCCCTAGCCTTCCTGTGTGCTGGGAGTGCTCGAGGTTTGAGTTTACCTCTATTTCTGATGCGTTCCGTCGCTTCGTTTGTCTAAAATGCATTTGCTTATCGAGTTGTTAAGTTTTGCTTATCGAGTTGTTGCTCTTTGATTATCGAGTTGTTGCTCGTTGCTTATCGAGTTGTAAACTTTTTAAGGTTTTGTTGTTTGTTAGTGAGTTAAGTTGTTTAGTTTGTTGTGTTGGTTCACTACCTGACTTGGCAATACATGAATGTTCAGTTTCCATTCAATCTCATTTTTGTGCAAAATGATGCGATGCGATGCTTAGAATACAAATACAACACTTTTTGAACAAAAAGCTGTTTTCATTCCATCATAGCTTATTTTTTACAACATTTTACAATAGGGTACAAGTTTTGAAGAAAATAAAACTACCTAAGTTGTACAATGTGCTACAACTACATGTAAAAAGAAAAATAAAGCAGGAACATCTGCATGAGTGATAGTATGCGAATGTGATGGTTGGTGCATGCAGAAATAAAGCAGGAACATCTGCATGAGTGATAGTATGTAAAAAGAAAAATAAAGCAGGAACACCACCGCCGCCGGCACCACCATCTGAATCGGAGTCGCCGTCCTCAGAATCCTCCTCAGCGTCACCCCCGTCCTCAGAATCAGAACCGAAGTCATCATCCCTGCCTGCAGATGTCTCTGACTGTGGATGTGTTAACTCTTCCTCCTCGCTGGACTCCTCATCATGTCTGACAGGTGCTCTGCGTCCCCCTCGGCTGCGTGCTGAGGCCCCTCCCCTGGCTGCTCGAGAAGGCCTAGATGGCCTAGTCTGCAGAGGTGGGACCTGAAAAGGACAGTTTGAATGCATCAGCCAGTATGCATATCAGATGTAGATGCAAGAATGATACATAGAGTGGGTGCATGCAGAAATAGTATGTGAATGTGATGTGTCAGATGTGCTCTACACATGCAATGAATCAATGCAGTGAAATGTTCAGTTTCCATATGTCATTCGAAGTATGATAAATGCAAGTAAATTGAAAAGTACCCGAACGTCGGAGGTGTATAGTAGCGTCTCCCTCCGTAGGACCATGCTCTCGAGTGAGGCCACCACTCCGAGCAACCCCTTAGTATACTCTCTGGGAGGTTGCAAATGCAAGTTCAAGTCATCAGTAAATGAATGAACGTCTAAATATCTGAGTGATAAATGAAAACTGTGGAGCATATCAGTGGCAAGTCAGGGTCATTGACGTATCGATGATCCGGCAGCGGAGGCTCCAGTGGAATCGGGTAAGATGTCCCATACTGTCAGCTCGTCAGCTCGGTCGGAAGATTTGGCCACCCAGCGTACTGGCAAGTCGAGGGCATCCCTCTAGCCTTACCACTTGATGTGCTAGCCCTGCCAGTGGAAGGGATGTCTGTAGCTCGAGTGCGACTTGACGATGGCATATCAGCAACCCTTCTTGTAGGAGTACAGACGCCAGTCAGTGGAGGCATCAAGTATGTATGGGGGTATGTCGCGTACTCTTTATTCTCTAGGAAATGAACTGCGTCGACACCCAGTATAAGGTCGTCAGTCTCCCGAGGAGTGAGACGCTCCATGGACCACATGTCCAGTGGAGGCGGTGAGGGAATCTCTTGAGTAGCATTACCCATCATCTGACGCATGAAGTGATCCCCGAGAAACCAGGCCCTGCCGACTGGTCCCTCAAACAAAACCCTGTATTGGGAAGCACCCCATGCCCCAGCGAACTGGAACTGAGAATATTCGGGCATCTCCAGCCAAGGCTGCCAAGTGATATGCGGATAGCAAGTGCATAAACTGATTAGAAGTCATAAATATGCAAGATGAATCAAAGCTGAAAGCATGAAGAACTGAGAGTTCTGGTTTACCTCGGTCGCCCGCACGGTGTCGAAGTACTGCCTCAGATATGGCAGAGTCTCCCGGGGCCTAGACCGACATCAACCCTCAAATTTGCGTGAATAAGGGATCTCGAGAGGTGCCTCAACCTTGAGCTCAGGGGCGAGTGTCGGGAAGTAGGCATAAACCAATAGTTGTGAAAGGCAAGACAATGGCTGTCAGAATACAGGATGTATAAAAAATGCAGAATGCTGAGTGCAGAATGCAGGGTACAGAAGGTAATGTGTGCAATGTGTGCAGTGCGCTACGTACAGATAATGAAAAGCAGAAATGTAAATCAAGAGGGCAGAATGTACCTCCCAGGCTCTCCAGTAGCCACCTACTATGGTCCCCCGCTCGCGGGAGGTCACGCTCATGTAGCAATAAAGGGTAGCGAGGCCAGCGCCACACCAATCAAAGTGCCGGACCTGTGATAGGTCTACTAGAGCACTGAGCAGATAAAGCCCAACTGTGTTCCCCCTGTCGGAGAACAGAGTGGTCCCGAGGAGGAACATCAAAAATCCTCAGGCATACTGATGTACGGCCTCAATAGTCTCGGGTATAGTCCCCCTGTACTGCTTAGAAAACCAGGTGTACTTGACTATGCATGGTGATCTGCAGTGCGGTGGATGGGCTCTGAGCAGATAAGTCCAAGCAACCTCCCACTCACCCATATCGGTATCGTATGGGATAGGCCGGCCTGCCACGTCAAGGCCCTTCAGTATGGAAAAGTCATACGGGGTCATCGTCATGTCCCTGGTGGTAGAAAAATAGAAGGAGTTTGTCGTGTCCCACCATATCTCTACAAGTGCACCTAGAAGGGTCTTGCTCGCCAGATGACATGACAATCCCGTACAAAATGGGCCAAACCCTGCCTTATCCACAATATGCCGAACAGCATCTGGGAGCTCTATGTACCACTCCCTGGCAATGATCGACCCGTAACCCCGTGTGAAACGGGAAGATACCTGCATGTAGAAAGAACAGATGTATTCAGTTCCAATTAAAAAGAATACTGTGTTACGAGCTGTGTGTTCAGATCGAGCAGTGTTATGTTATGAGCCGTGTGCCGATTAAAAAGAATGCTGTGTTATGGACTATGTGTTTAGATTGAGCAGTGTTGTGAGCCGTGTGCAAATTAAAAAGAATACTGTGTTATGAGCCGTGTGTTCAGATTGAGCAGTGTTATGTTATGAGCCGTGTGTCGATTAAAAAGAATACTGTGTTATGGACTGTGTGTTCAGATTGAGCAAAAACTGTGTTATGAACTGTGCGTTCAGATTGAGCAAAACTGCGTTATGAACTGTGTGTTCAGATTGAGCAAAAACTGCATTATGAACTGTGTTTTCAGATTGAGCAAACCCTGTGTTATGAACTGTGTGTTCAGATTGAGCAAACACTGCGTTATGAACTGTGTTCTCAGATTGAGCAAACCTTGCGTTATGAACTGTGTGTTCAGATTGAGCAAAATTGTGTTATGAACTGTGTATTCAAATTGAGCAAACCCTGCGTTATGAACTGTGTGTTCAGATTAAGCAAAAACTGCGTTATGAACTGTGTGTTCAGATTGAGCAAAACTGAGATATGAACTGTGTGTTAAGATTGAGTAAACCCTGCATTATGAACTATGTGTTCGATTGAGCAAAAACTGTGTTATGAACTGTGTGTTCAGATTGAGCAAAACTGCATTATGAACTGTGTGTTCAGATTGAGCAAACACAGCATTATGAACTGTGTGTTCAGATTGAGCAAAAACTGTGTTATGAACTGTGTGTTCAGATTGAGTAAACCTTGCGTTATGAACTGTGTGTTCAGATTGAGCAAACCCTGCGTTATGAACTGTGCGTCCAGATTGAGCAAAAACTGCGTTATGAACTGTGTGTTTAGATTGAGCAAAATATCGCATTATGAACTGTGTGTTCAGTTTGAGCAGAGTACTGTGTTATGAACTGCGCATTCAGATTGAACAGTGTGCTATGTTATGAGTTATGTGCCCAAAATGTGCTGCGTGCCCAAATGTGCTGTGTGCCCAAATGAGCTGTACGCCCAAATGAGCTGTGTGCCCAAAATGTGCTGTGCGCCCAAATGAGCTGTGTGCCCAAATGTGCTGTGTGCCCAAATGTGCCGTGTGTCCAAAATGAGCTGTGTGCCCAAATGAGCTGTGTGCCCAAATGTGCTGTGTGCCCGAAATGAGCTGTGTGCCCAAAATGTGCTGTGTGCCTAAAATAAGCTGTGTGCCCAAATGAGCTGTGCGCCCAAATAAGCTGTGTGCCCAAAATATGCTGTGTGCCTAAATGAGCTGTGTGCCTAAAGGTGCTGTGTGCCAGATTAATAGAGTGTTATGTATGAGTTGTGTGCCGAGTGAACCGGATGCTGTGTGCAAGTTATGCTGAGAACATGCAGATGTACTGTGTATGTGAATGTGTTCAGAACGAGCAGAAAAAAAATACATAGCGAAAGCATGCAAAATGCTTCGCAGGGAATGTAAAAGTGAAGTACGCACCTCTCGCGCATGATGAGATAGGTAAGACTCAGGCTCCCGTAGCAGTAAGTCTGCGGGCGCCCGTTGCGTGAAGTCAGTAAAATGATGGAAGGTACTGGGTGGCAGTATATGTTCCTGCGGGTGGTACCTCTCTGGGTCGGCCGAATCCTCGGAGGCAGTGGCATAACGTCCAGTTCATCCTCTACTCTCGGGGAGCCTCCGCCGTATGGAATATCGTCAGGCATCTGAAGAAATCTGCAAAAAAGATGCAAAAACGAGCGAAATGAGCCAAAATTGCAAAAAAGTCAACAAAAGTCAACTCTTGGGAAGAGAAAAAGTCAACAAAAGTCAACGCTCAAGAAAAGGTGCCAAACTTCGAGACAAACATACCTCAAGTGGTGAAAATGGAGAAAGAACCTCCGAAAACAAATTCTAATCGGTTCAAAACGAAGAGAATCGAAAGTTTTCGCGAAACAACTTCGCGTAGGGCGTTGGAAAACGCATCTAAAGTGCAGATCTGAGAGAGAAAAGGGTCTAGGGAGGGAGAGAAATGTATTTCGGCCTTGGAGGTATGATGAAAAGTGTTTTGGAGTTGAGTTTTTAAAGATCTCCATGTGAAAAGACCAAGCTGCCCCGAAATTGTGTAAACTGGTTGGCCAACCAGTTTTTCTGGTCGGCCGACCACTTTGGTGGTCAGCAACTGGTCGGCCAGCATTCTAGGTGGTCGGCCACCCTCTTGGATGGTCTCCAAGGTCCCATTGTTCTTCCGGTGTGTTTTGATGATGATTGGAGTCCTCGGCTCTCAAGAAAGTACAAGAAAAGTACACTTTTCGGTTCAAGAATGTCCCCGCGGGAACTTTAATTCAAGTCTTTGATGTGTGGCTCATTGTGACTCGTCAAGAGCAAGGTGTATCCTTTTGAATACGTTATGACCCCTCCGAGAGGTAACTCGGAGGTTCCGGTTAAATTGCTCGCGTTAAGACTTGTATCTCCTTTTTCAGTATTTTGCTTCAAATGTATTTTTGGAGTTGCACATTTCAAATGCATTGTAATGCACATCACTTCTTGCATTGTTATGCACACCACTCGTCGCATTGTTATCCACGTTTCTCTCGTATTGTCAGGCACACTTTATTTGCGTTATCACACACATTTTGCTCGCATTGTTTTGCATATTCCTCTTGCATTGTTGTGCATTTCATCTGCATTGTTATGTGCACACTTAGGTTGCATTGTCATGCACCCCTCTATCCGCATTGTTATGCGCACACTTAGGTTGCATTGTCATGCACCCTCCATCCGCATTGTTATGCGCACACTTAGGTTGCATTGTCATGCACCCCTCCACCCGCATTGTCGCGCATACTTAGGTTGCATTGTCATGCACCCCTTCCACCCGCATTGTCATGCACTCTTCACATGCGTTGTCGCCCACGTTCCACTCGCATTGTTATGCACTCCACTTGCATTGTTATGCACGTTTCACTTGCATTGTTATGCACACTACATACATTGTTATGCACGTTTCACTTGCGTTATCACACACTTTTCACATGCATTGCTATGCATGTTTCCATCGGCATCATATGTGCACGAATTTATATTGCATCTTGATGTAACATCGAACATATGTTGTTACTATATTGTACCTATTGAATTTCTCTCTTTTGCAGGCACAATATTGTATGTACGGTTCATTTGAGGCTTGTGCTACCAGACAATATTGTATGTACAGTTCATTTAAGACTGGTGCGACCAGACGGTATTGTATTTACTCCGCGTGAGACGCAGCGAGAATTGTATAATACTCTTACATCCTTTCTGCATGTAATGTAGTTTGGTTCGTATTCTTTCGCTTGCTTAAACTATTGCATTTATTGTGTATAATTGCTTCATTACAGCCCTCTTTACATGATCATAAGTTATGTTCAGCATCTTGCATGTCATTTGCATCTTGCCCCCGCTTGTGGGCACATTTCTTTGTTATCTTGCCTATTTGTCTAAGTCTTCGGCCGTGTCAAAAATGGGTCATCTCTGGGCTTTAACATTCACTCTCGTCACTTATGAGTTTCGAGTTCTGTCAAAGAGAGGCAACTGTAGACACCCCATTTTTTACCGACTTTGAGACTTAGACGTCATCGATTGAGCGCTCGGTGATAGTGCATGTTGCACTCGTTTCGAGTTTCCGGAGTTTTCGGCTGAGTGCCTTGCCTCCGGGCCTCTGAACTCTTTCTGCTTTGGCTTGGTTTGCGGACCAAGCCTTGTTTCTCTTCCCTGGAGGGAGGGAGTGGCCTTGGAGACCACCTCTTTGTGGTTGTAGACCACTTTTCGCGTTTGGAGACTAGTTTCCGGTTTTCAGAGCCTTCGGCTGCGCGCCTTATCTCAGGACTGCTTAACGTTCTCCGTTTGGCTTGTTTTTTGAACCATGCCTTGTTGCCTCTGCCTAGAGGGACACTGTCGTTTGGGAGACCACTTTTGGTGCTCATAGACTAGTTTTCGAGGCTTTCAGCTGCGCGCTGTGTCTCCCGAACTTTCGTCTTGCATCCTTTTTGGTTTGTTTTTGGTACAAACCTTGTTTTCCTTGTTTGGAAGGTGGTACAAGGGTGGAAGACCAGTTCTTTTCCTTGAAGATCACTTTTCTTCCCGCCAGTCAGTTTTCTGGTCGGCCAGCTGGTCTCCTTGGTCTTTGGGCCACCTTTTCTGGTCAGCCACCACACCACTGTATTGTTTTCATGCTGCTGACCATCTCCCACCATG